TTTTTTTTGAACAGGTTCCAAATAAGTTGCGCAGGCTGGCCTCAAACTTGTGACCTTCCTAAGTAGCTGGGGGCTCCCCGGGCCACCATCCTGGGCCTTATTTCATGAGCACAGTTTCCACTGGGTGTGGCGGTGCGTGCATGTAACCCAGGCACCCCTGGAGGATGGAGGGGATCTCAAGGCTGAACCCAGCCTAACCAGTTTAGTGACTTAGCAAGACCCTGTCTCAAAATTAAAAATACTAAAAAGGGCTGAGGACATAGCTCATTGTGAAGGCCCTGGATTCAATACCCTGCACCATACACAGAAAAGCACAATCTGGTAGCATTAAATGTATTCATAATGTTGTTCAGTCATCGCTACCATGTATTTCCATAGCTCATTTGTAAAACTGAAACTCTGCATGAATTACTTAGTAATTCCCTATTTCCTTCTCCAAACATCTTGTAACTGCTGTTCTATTTTCCATCTCTATAGTTTTCAGCATTTTTAAGTACCTCATGGAAGTGCAATTGTACAGTATTTTCTTCGGGGGGGTACAGAACTGGAACTCTGGACCTTGCCCTTGTGAGGCAGATGGTGGAACCACTGAGCTAAATCCCTCGCCCCCATATGGCATTTTTTTGTGACATTTCACTTACAGATACCTTCAAGGTTCATCTGTGTTGCAGTGTATGCTGGAATTTCCTTGCATTTATTAATTTATGTATGTATGTGTGTATGTCTGTATGTATGTATGTTATTTAGGACAAGGTCTTGATATGTAGTTCAGGCAGGGCTTGAACTTGACCCCATGGCCCTGCCTCAGCCTCCCAGATTGATGGGATTACTGGTGTGTGCCACCACATCCTGACAAATTTTCTTTCTTTTAAAGCCAAATACCCTAATCTTTTTTTTGTTTGGATACTATTAACCGAAGTCTACAAAAGGTATTTTACCTGTTATCAATCATAAACCCAATCTTTTTTTTTTTGGTACCGGGAATCAAACTCGGGTTCTTATGCTTACAAGGCAGGTGGCAGAAGCCCACTCTTTTTGATGGTTGTTATTTTTGCTAATAAAGTGATATATTGTAGCCATAAAAACTCGGGAAGAACCAGAAAGATACAATATGAATAAAAATCACCCTCAGTCAAAGCGTACATATTAATATCAACATTCAGGAGGCTGAGGCAGGAGGATCACAAACCTGAGGCCAGCCAGGGCCACACAATGAATTGGGGATGGTGAGGGCCATATAGAGAGATGTTGTCTCTAAAAACTGAAACCAAAACAAGGCAAAACAAAACAAAGAACAACAAAAAAGCCTCACACAGGCAAGAGACAGCAAGTTTGAGGCTAGCCTGGGCTAGGCAGAGAGACTGTCTCAAAGAAAACAAAATGGCCAGGGATTTAACTCAGTGGTTCTGCCACCTGCCTCGCATGCACAAGGTCCTGAGTTGGATCCAAAAACAAACAAACAAACAAACAATGTGTAAAGCATGTAACATTGAAAACTTTAATCTAGCCACACACGAGTTCAAAGATTGTTTCCAAAATTATTACATTATGAGCCACTTGACATTTTATTTCCTAAATAAATGAACACTAATATCCAGAAGGAATTGTATATTATCAAGAAAGTTATATACAAAAAGAAATAGACGTGGTAAAAACATCAGGCAAATATGATAGAAAAGCTGGATAGAACTGGACTGAACTGACTAGGATTATTGAGCTTTTCTTTCTCTCTTGTACTAGGAATTGAACTCAGGGCCTTTGCATAGGCAACATCCACAGCCCTTTATTTATTTATTTATTTTTAATTTATTTTTTGGTTTTTTGAGACAGAGTCTCACTATGTAGTTGAGACTGACCTGGAACTCACTATGTAGCCCAGGCTGGTCTCGAACTCCCAGCGATCCTCCTGCCTCAGCCTCCTGAGGGCTGGGATGACAGGTGGGCACCACCACGCCCGGCTTCACAGCCCTTTTTAATTATGAGACACAGTTTTGCTAAACTGCCTGGGCTGGCCTCTAACTGGAGATCCTTCTGCCTCAGCCCCCTAGAGTGTTTGTTTTGTTACCAGTACAGAAACATAACAGTGTAGGAATATGGTCAGAGCTGCGTTTCTGAACGTGTCCTGCGGCAGCAGTCTGTGGATTGTGTCGAAATGAGTCAAGTCTGAGAGCAGAGAGCAGTGCAGTAATGAGGCTGCTGAGGTCAGTAGGAGAAGAGAAATCGGAAGTCCTGGATGAGAAACCTAGAACTGGAATCTGCAGGACTTCCTGATTTATCCTAGAGGATTATCCAAGGTAAAAGAGATAGCAAAGTCCAAAGTTTTAACCTGGATTGATAAGTATGCTTCTCCCTCTCTACTAGAGCCACCTTGAGCGCCGGCTCCAATCCTTTCCCCCCTCTATTCAGTGATCCCCAAAGCAGCTGGATTCACCTTTTTGGAATGGACTCATCTTAAAACATGAATTAGATTAAGTTACTGCCCTGTTGACAATTCTTGAATTCCTTCCCAAAGCCCCAAAGTTCCTTACCATGGCTCCTACTCCACCTTGCTCAGAGCTCATTTCTGCCTCTGGGTCTTTGTGGGTGCTGTTCCTCATCTTCTCTTCCAGGGTTTGAACCCAGGCCCTTCACACTGAGTCACATCCCAGCCACATACTATGTATGTGGTATTGGAGATGGAACTTAGAGGCACTTAAAAACTTTTGTTGTTTTAATTTTGAGACAGGGTCTTGTTAAATTGCCCAGGCTGGGTTCAAACTTTCAATCCTCCTGCTTCAGCCTCCTTGAGTGTTGGGATCTCAGGTGTGCACCGTCCTATCTGGCTCCATCTTCTCTCTTTGTGTAGGCAACTGTCTCATCATCATTTGGATCACAGCTTAATTCACTTCTGGTCCTAACTTCCTGTCCCAACCTCCTGCTTGCTAGTCTATCTTAGGCTTGGTTCTTCAACAGCATCTTTCTAAATTAAAAACCTGAGAAAATAGACTTATGTGCTATATATCTACGTTTATATTTTGTTTCCTCAAACTGTAACCTTCACTAAAGAAAGCTTTTCTCTCACATTCTCTTTTACCTGGTGCATGCCACAGTGGCTGGTGTACGGAAGGCATTTGAAAGGGGGTTGCGTGCCCTTTCGGGTGCCCCTTCCCAATTAGGCCACGCATGC